ATTAAATTGTCTTTTATTAACAGATAATCCTATTGGAGGACGTGTTTGCGTTGGGGTCGAGTGTAAACCTGGTCTTCCCATTGCTGCCCATCAATATGACGACAATCATTTATGAGATGCCGGCGCTCACTGACGACCAGTGCCAGTGCTATGTCCGGCAACTGCTCGATGGCGTACATCACTGTCACACCAATGGTATTATACACCGGGATCTCAAACCCAGTAACCTATTGATCGACTGGAACGGCATATTAAAGTTATGCGACTTCGGTCAGGCCCGGGCACTCGAGCCCAACCTAAGTAGAGCACCGGTATCTAATGATGACGAGTCAAACGATAGAGACAGCGGACACGTCAGTAATAATGGGGAAAGGGATGATCAAAACCCGGCACTTTCGCATCAGGTATGCACTCGATGGTACCGGTGTCCTGAACTCCTGTACGGCGCCAACCATTATGATTACGCGGTAGATATGTGGAGTGTGGGCTGTATCATAGGGGAACTCCTACAGAGATGGCCACTGTTTAAAGGGGAGTCCGATATCGAGCAGTTGTCGCGTGTGGTGCAGGCATTGGGCGCACCTCCCGAGGAATGGCAGGATGTGATGCCTGACTTCAATAAAATACAGTTCACTGTTAGCAACGACAGCAGCGCCAAGAGTTTATGGCTCCGAAAGTTAGAGCGTAAGTGTAGGGGACAGGCCTTAGCCACCGATTTAGTGGTCAAACTGTGCACATATAAGGACAGACTGTGCGCCGAACAGACCCTTCGACACCCATATGTCGCCGATTGTCTCGTTAGACAGCATTTGCTGATTAAACCACAATTTATTAAGCATTTAGTGGGACCACCAATGAGTAGGCAATAGTTGGCTATTCATTATAATTAAGTCATTAAAACATTACATTATTTTACAATTATTATGATCTTAATTGGTGGCAATTATTTTCAATATTGTACTCTCTTTTATAATTAAATCTTATTATTTACCGGATTAATTGAATACAATTAATCTTATAATTGAATATTTACCCCATGAACAGTAATTAAGTTATATGAAATGATTGTGCATTCAATATGATTTTATATTACATGTACTGTATTCGTATTATGCAAATGAATTGAATCAAACAAATTGTTTGTAATTATTCTTTTAATTAAACAGGAATACTGTAATAATAATTTCAATACAAATGCAATTTTAAATCTCATAATAATCATATTATTATATAAAAATTTAAATATTATTAAATAAAATATAAATACATTACAAATAGATTTCATAATAAAACACATTGTGATTTATAAAGATGTCATTATTATTGCCCATAATTAGTTTATTAAATTATTAAATTTAAAAGTTAATACCGTACTTAGGGTTATCTCAAACTTATGTCAAAATTGAAAAGAGTTTAACTCATTTCAAATTAAACGCTGTATTAGATTCATAACAAATATTATCGATAATAATTAAAGTAACAATAATAAAATATTTTCAACAGTGAGAATCAAATTAATTAATAATAAGCGATAATATGAGGCGTTTATAGAAGGAATGGAGAAGTGGGTAAATACCGAGTATAAGGATAAACAAATGGTTTACCAAAACAATAATATTACGGGTATTAGATTTTTTTTAAACCGATGAAAAACCCCAAAAATAATTCATAATTAAAACTGTAATAATTACCGGTAATAGAAACCGTGCGTTGAAATAATACCATTTAAAATATCTTAGTTACCCCACCATTTCATTCCCTGTAAACACCTCCTATTTGTGGTAAATATTTGGAAAATTTATAACATTAGAGTGCATTGAATGGGTGGTCAGCCCTGGCGTAGGACAGAGTCTGTGCGTATGGTTACAAGAAAGCTGTGATAAACCTAACGATACAATAAATGTGTCATTTTATACGGGAATTGGCTGAAAGTAGTCGACGTGATCGCCAGACGTGTATTTATTGGTCTCAAGTATTTCTATGAATCTATTGACAGACGTCTCGGGCTTCAGGATATCCATGCGTTGGAACTCAGAGACCAAGTGTCCGTCCTTTCGCAATATGTCCACCATATCTGTCTCGAGAGGGCCGGGAGAATAGCTCAGCACACGTACGGACTCGTTCTCCAGGGCAACCGACCGGAAAAAGGCGTCCCGACCAGCCTTTCCTGTAATTCACAGCAAATTTACGTGTAATTTATATCAAAAATGTCTTCAAGTGGTCCTAAAACTCATGCTAATTACCGATGCAATAGAGTGACAATCCTTTGAATGGCTGCAAAGCGGCCAAAGAAGTGATATTAACCACCAGTTTGTAGGGAACGGCTGCGAAGGCTCTCAAGAATATTCCCGTCATTTGCATAACACTCGTGAGGTTGAGGTCGAGGTATTGGGTGATCGGACGGTGCGAATGAACGCCCAAATCTGTGGTCAATTGGTTGACATCACCCAAACTGCCGGCGTTGTGAATCATCATCAACTGGTCGTACCTGCCGGTGCTGTCGATGTCTGTGGGCCCGGCGGTGGTGTTGGCGATGGTCTCGCAGGTCCTCTCAAACGACTGGACAGTGATTTGGTCGTCGAGTGAGCCGCAGATGATGTCCACCGTATGGATGTGCTGGACGTCGATGGCGGACAACTGGTGGGACAGGCACTGGAGGGCCGGCGCGTCGCGCGAGATCAACACGAAGGACAGGCTGTAGTCGGTGTCGGCGTTGGCCGGGCTGTCGGCGCACCGGCGGTTGTGGTAGTCTGTGAAGTGTGCGGCCAATGATAGGGCCAGTTGTCGACCCAAACCACGGGAGGCGCCGCTCATTATCACACATACGTGTCGACCCAACCATACGTTTGATGGCAACATAGCTACCGGTGCTGTGGATGCCCTGTCGGGATGTGTCACTACTTCGTATGACTTGTTGTGCATCGACTGCACCGCCGATGACTGACTGCTAACTGCTTTGAATAGCGATTGAAACGTATTTATAGTTCAATTGGTTTTGTGGCCAAAAGTGTGTGAATTGTTGTTATGATTGACACATGTTTTCATGTCATTCACTGCACTCTCCGTAGATATCGTAACGCAAAGTATAATGTAATTCAATGTATGCCCGCAAGTAAATACCGTTACCGTTAAACTCATTCTAAGCCCCTATTTTGTGATGAACTTTTGTGAGAAATGTGCAAGCTTATGTTTTTAGATATTTATTCTCATTTAATGCTAGTTTGTATCCGATTTGTGAAACTAGTACACCACACCATCCCATAGAAAGTGAATACTGTATCTATTTTACTAATAGGACACTGATATGTCATGGTATTAATTTATCATGATAAAAAGTATATTATTAGTGCTAAAATGTGATATTCTATGTTGTACAATTTGTACATTAAATGTACAGTTAAAAGTTTATAAAGTTAAAAGTTATGTTATACTTGAATAAAGTTCTAAAGGTTATACATTTGATTGCTAAATTCATTTTACAAGGTTATACAGGTTCTAATTGATTATGATAAATTTAGTAAGTATCGCGCATAATTATCATAATCAAGGTTACCACTTATAAAACCATGTACAGTATTCATAATNTCCTGCCATTCCTCGGGAGGTGCGCCCAATGCCTGCACCACACGCGACAACTGCTCGATATCGGACTCCCCTTTAAACAGTGGCCATCTCTGTAGGAGTTCCCCTATGATACAGCCCACACTCCACATATCTACCGCGTAATCATAATGGTTGGCGCCGTATAGGAGTTCAGGACACCGGTACCATCGAGTGCATACCTGATGCGAAAGTGCCGGGTTTTGATCATCCCTTTCCCCATTATTACTGACGTGTCCGCTGTCTCTATCGTTTGACTCGTCATCATTAGCTACCGGTGCTCTACTTAGGTTGGGCTCGAGTGCCCGGGCCTGACCGAAGTCGCATAACTTTAATATGCCGTTCCAGTCGATCAATAGGTTACTGGGTTTGAGATCCCGGTGTATAATACCATTGGTGTGACAGTGATGTACGCCATCGAGCAGTTGCCGGACATAGCACTGGCACTGGTCGTCAGTGAGCGCCGGCATCTCATAAATGATTGTCGTCATATTGATGGGCAGCAATGGGAAGACCAGGTTTACACTCGACCCCAACGCAAACACGTCCTCCAATAGGATTATCTGTTAATAAAAGACAATTTAATGATTTTAAAATGAGAATAGAGGTTAAAATTTTATTTAAAATTAATAATATTGTATAATTTAATTTATTATACAGTAAAAACTGATGAACGGTATTTATTTAAATTAAAATAAGATTGGAATTATATTTTAAGTTAAAATTTTTAACACATGTTATAATAAAACTTCTAATTAGTTTTTATAACATTGAGCACATGTTTTAAACTCCGGTAAAATTAACAGCTATACTAGTAATAACATTGAATTCTGTTTTATTCTGTAAATATTATAACCATTAAAACAAAACATTTTTAATTTTGGATATAAAGGACATTTATGAAGTGAATGAAACATTTAAAAATTGGTAACAGATTTGCTTACATTATCATGACTTCTAAGGAATTGCAAACATTTAATTTCCCGTACAATTGACAGGGGGATAGTTTTATTGTGAATGTGTATCCGCTTAATGTATGAAACATTTAAAAATTGGTAACAGATTTGCTTACATTATCATGACTTCTAAGGAATTGCAAACATTTAATTTCCCGTACAATTGACAGGGGGATAGTTTTATTGTGAATGTGTATCCGCTTAATGGCCAACAAATACTTATCAGGTATATTTACATCACCACTTTTGCCCAGACCAGTATACTTATCCAGAACATTTGCATATGTGCCTTTTAGTATGACACCATGGGCACCGGCACTCATATGACTTAGAATCTTATACCGATCCATAGTTCAGTCACAATTTAATACACAATTGCAATATTGGAGTAATATTTTTAGTAAAAAAATCAGCAAATATTGTGTGTAACTAAAATAATTAAAATTTTTAAAGTTAAAAATTTTACATATTTTTATGTCGCAAACACAAATGCAGCAAAAAACTAGTTTTCATAAAATAGTTAGAGTGTGTTTTAATTACATAAATGTTTTAAACTATATTTTTGTTGTTATTATGTCTTCGCAAAGTGTGTGACAGACGACTGATTATTAATACTATTCCACATTATTCTCCATAGATTTGGGTCTGTTTTGCATTGAAAAATAGCAGACAATACCTGTGTTTAGAAACTAGTCGTATGTGAATTATATAGTTTATGTTTTCATGTGTTAAATATTATACAAATTTAATACCAATGACAAGAATACAAGTAATAATACAAATATGTATTTCTATGGAAACCAATGTTTGGGAAATTTGTGTCTATTTTTGTCTATTAGGAAATTTAATATTAATTCCTATTAAACATTGGAAATTCTCTCTCTCTCTCTCTCTCTCTCTCTCTCTCTCTCGGAATTCACAATAACTTCTGCAAATGACTTATAAATACAATACAAAACTAAACTTTTATATTTCCTAAAACTAATGAATACATGAAATATTCAAATTAGTTTCTAATGTATTTAAACACCAGTTTTGAGAATAAAAGTTAGTTTTGTAGCACAGGTAGGTAGTGCCGATGCATATGTGAATAAAAATAGGTCTATTTGGATGATGAGCTAATGTACACACCATTAGCCATACAAAACAACTACTTGTGCCCACACAATACAACTCAACACTAAAATCTAATCATTAGATATAATGAAAATACAGACCAAATGCTATATTCGTGTTCTAGACTGCAGTCAACCCCCTGGTAGGCCATAAGGGGCTCAGAGAGGACATGGACTGGCCATAGCCCGGGGCCACCTGTTAGGTGATGCCTGTCCTGATAGCACAGACTAATAATCAATATTACAATCAGCTATGGACCTGACATATAAGGCCTAATACATGGATTTCCAATATATGGGAGAAAATGCTATTTTGAGTCCAATATATTTGATCGGAGAGGCCATACACTCCAGTCTCTCCCCTCCCGCTGTGGCATTGGATTGACTCTATGCCACAGGTTTATGGGGTCTTCCCTTCTGACTCCATGTGTGGATTTATGGATGAGTTTGACTACTAATCAATGGATAGCTTTCCAAATGCATTAATATTACATTTTTTGCTAATACAAGCGCCGGTACTCACTCACCCCCTCACCCTTATCCTCGTCCCTATCTATTGAGCGTATAATAACTTATCAAATGAATGCCAAACCACAGAAAGACCACTTCGTCTGGTAATTGAAAAACTGTTTACAAACCAAATAAATCATTGCAAATAAAAATAA